ATTACACTCGTCAAGACCTTTCATTTGACTACCCACATCAATTTTTCATATATTTTATATATTTATATATATTATATATATGTATATATAAAAAATATATCAAAAATGCATGAGGGTACTCAAATGAAAGCTCTTGATGAGTGTAACATCGGGATGAACTTATATCTTTCAAAACTTCAATAATTAAGAAATGACATTGTATTTTGTCAACAAATGATATTTTTAAAGATATAAGCTCATCCTGATGTTACACTCGTCAAGACCTTTCATTTGAGTACCCACATCAATTTTTCACATATTTTATATATTTATATATATAATATATATATGTATATATGAAAAATATATCAAAAATGCATGTGGGTACTCAAATGAAAGCTCTTGATGAGTGTAACATCGGAATGAGCTTATATCGTTAAAAACATCATTAGTTAACAAAATACATCATCATTCGTTAATTATTAACATTTTCATAAATATAAATCCATTGTGATTTTATACTCATCGAGACCTTTCATTTGAGTACCCACATGAATTTTTTCATATATCTTATATATATGATATTTATAAAATATATGAAAAGTGCATGTGGGTAGTCAAGATCAACAATAATTTATAAAAAAAAATTTATAAAAAAAAAATTCATCCTTATTTTATTTATTGTAAAAACTCCGATCGCGGATGTTTTTCGGAGTGAAATTCTAAATCACTCCGAAATCACTCTGAAATCACTCCGCAAATAAAAACTCTGGATTCACTCCTTACGCGGAGTGATTAATTACTTCACTCCGGAACTCCGAGTGATGGGAGTGAATGGGGAGTGAAATTCTTTCCGGATTTTTTACAGTGTACAATTACCGCATTAATGCCCAAATTTTACCCAAAAAATTCCAAATAATTACCGTAATAATACAGTAATTTTGCCGAATATTTTCTGACATAATGGAAAATTATTAAAAATTTGGTTTTATTTTTAGTTCACTTCTAGGTTAGAAATGAATAAAAAGAAAAATTTCCAATTTTGCTTTTTATTCTCCATCGCTACTTTGCAAAAACAAATACTGTTTTTGAATAAATACTATGTAGAATATTATTTTTTAAGTAGGTATTTAGCGGTAATGAATATTAAAGAATGCATATGTTAAGTAAATATATTCTAATTTCAATTTCAATTTTTAATTTCTCACTTAGAAAATTGCAAATTTTCTAAAATCGAAAAGTTACTTTGTTTCACATATATAACTATATTATTTAATTTTAAATATGCTTATCGTAAGATGGACGGTATGGCTTAATGTATATAGAATAAGGAAAAAAAAATATGGTACAGGCTGGGTAGCTCAAATGGTAGAGTAGCCGACTTGTCCTCGGGAAGTTCTGAGTTCGAATCCCAGTCTGAGCTTTATTTAATTTTACACCATTTTTTAAATATGGTTTTAATACAGTCATTTTACCGCCTTATTACCATAAATATACCGCCTTATTACCATAAATATACCGCATTTTTAGCGTAAATATTTCGCATTTTTACGGTAAATGTTCCGTAATATTTCGATGAAATTAAATTCTAATTTCGATGAAAAAACTGACTAAAACAACCGAAAAAATACGGCATTACTTAATACTGTATAACTGCAACATTTTTTCGGCATTTACAAAACCGCTAGGGATTTATCTTGTTTGAGATTTTTTAAATTAAAGGGGCTATAAGCATGCGTGCGCATGCACAAAAGGCGTGTGATTTTTTTCTCATCGCGCGAGTAATGATATTAAATCGTTTTGCGGGAGTGCTGAAGGGTTAAAATTTAACAAATTTTCACAAATTTTTACAAAAATTCTTAAAATTTCGTATTATTCTACAAAATTTAATGAAATTTTACCACAGTCTCGTAATATAATATCAACAACTAAAGTTCAGTGTTCGAGCCCAACAGACATCAAAATTTTTCACTAAAAACTTAAACAATAAATTTCTGCCTAAGAAATTTTATAAAGTATAATAAAATAATTTTTTCCTAGCTATAATTTATTTATATTTGTCCATAAATCCAGATTACAGCCTATGAGACAGTCAGTAGCCACACAGCGATAACTAGTTTTCGTATAGTAACAGTGCAAATAGCGCCATTTATTTACATAAACGAAACAACCCATCAATGGCAAGGCTATTGCATCGACTTGTTAACGGAAATCCAAGGCTTAATGAATTTTGAATACGAATTGTACGAATCTCCTGACGGAAACTTTGGAGCAATGAACGAACAAGGGGAGTGGAACGGCATGATAAAGGAGCTGATTGACAAGCGTGCTGATATCGCATTAGGGACACTTTCTGTAATGGCGGAGCGTGAAAACGTGGTTGACTTCACAGTACCGTACTACGATCTCGTTGGAATATCGATCTTGATCCGTAAGAAGAAGGAAGAGACATCTTTGTTTAACTTTTTGACGGTACTCAACCGAACAGTGTGGTTATGTATTTTGGGCGCCTACTTCTTCACCAGTTTTCTTATGTGGATTTTCGATCGATGGTCCCCATACAGTTACCAAAACAATAAGGAAAAGTACAAGGATGACGAGGAAAAACGCGTATTCCATTTAAAAGAGTGTCTCTGGTTTTGTATGACGTCACTCACTCCTCAGGGCGGCGGGGAAGCCCCCAAAAATCTATCTGGGCGCCTTGTAGCTGCCACCTGGTGGCTCTTTGGGTTCATTATTATTGCATCCTACACGGCTAATTTAGCGGCTTATTTGACTGTGGCACGATTGGAGCAGCCTATTGAGTCACTTGATGACCTCAGCAAACAATATAAGGTCCAGTATAGTCCGATTAAGCCCTCTGAAGCTTACACCTACTTTGAACGGATGACTGCTATTGAGGATAAATTCTATGAGTGAGTTATTTGTTTTATTATTTTGAACTTGAGTAAAGAAAATTTTATTTAATTTTATGAAAATTTATATAGTTATGTGGAATTTCATAAAATACAATTTAATATGACAATACATAACATTATTTAAATTTTCATCAAATTTTAATGAATTTCATGGAATGTTCCGTGCAAAACAAAATTCTGATTCAAAATGAATTTAAATCTGAATTTTAGATTGAAATTCATATTTTGACACAAATATGAATTAGTCTTGATCTTAAACTTAATAAATAAATGATTATTGTTTGATGATTATAATTGGCCACCATTAATTTATTATGAATGTGAAAAAAGAAATTATTCTTAATTTATCTTCAATATTCTTAAATCTTTATTCGTAATGAATTTAATATAAATCAAACAATTTCGGATTGTATAAATCTTAATTCTGAAGAAGGGCCGACTGATTCAATACAAATTTAATATGCATTAATTATAAAAAATGGATACATTCCTAAAACTGTTATAGTAGCTGAAGCGCATGTTAACTTCATGTAGCATTTACAGCTAGCTGCAGCGCATTTAAGAATGCACCCCATCAATTGTTTTAAAAAAAATTGATTGTAATTCAACATAAATCTAATCTGCATTTAAAATAAGATTTGTAAGTATACGATAATTATTTAATATAATTATTTCGACAAAAAACTGGATAAAACTCATTAAATACAATTTTTTCCGCAATTTGAAATAACATTTATCCTAAATATTTTTAAGTCCTTATTAAAATTTTGAAGCAGAATCGAAAGTTCTACAGACGTGCTAATTTCTATCTACAAATCATTTTCAAATTTGGATTGATCTCAAGACTTATTCATATTTGTGTCAAAATATGGATTTCAATCTAAAATTCAGTTTGAATTAGAATTTTAAAATTGTTTTGCATGGGAATTATGACATTTTGCAGAATTTTATAAAATTTAATGGACTTTTATAAAATTCTAAAACTATAATTTTATAATAAGGTAAAATTTATCAGTAGTTTCTTACATTTTAAAAAAATGTTTTCCTTTTTTGAAAAATATTATTTTGTACTGATCCTGGTGACGATCTCCTTTACAAAAAAATGTCAGGCGGTGAGCAAGATATTCCTGCTTTGGAATATAACAAATAAAAAATTTATTTAGTGGATAAATTAATGCAAGTTTTAATCGAAGAAATACTTAAAATTTTGATTGTTATCAAAATGACGGCTTCCAAAAAAAAAAAAAAAAAAAAAAATTCACGATTTTCGTAAAATTTCCAGCTTTACAGAGGTTCGAGCGAATCTAATGTGAAAAATAATTTCCAGCTTTGAGCTTTGAAATTGAGTATACGTATAAATAAATACGTCATTTATCTAATCCCAAAATTTAAAAAAGATTCACCGTTTAAATTACTTAGATATTAAATTTCAAAAATCACATTTTTTATCTCCTTATACACAGGCTCTTACGGCGGACAAATTTTAGTCGACACTTTAATTATTTTTTTCAATATTAACCTCCCAACTTTAACAAATAAAAAACCATACTCAAGAAACTTGGATTATTGTAAAATATAAAAAAAATTTAACAATAATACATTACCGATATAATTTTTGAAATATTTAAAGTAAAATTTTATGTTTTTAATTCGTTTATCGTCAGCTATTTATTCGAATAAAGATTCGGCAACGTCGCGTCAACTGCTGAAAAAAAAGAAAAGGATAGAAATATAGTTACAGAGAGAGAAATATTTAACTTACACACTCATGCACGTCTCTGTTGTGGGTATAATCATACGCGCTGTTGCCAAATCTGTTTATTTAAATCGGCAAGTAATAAATACGAAAGTTATTTTATTAAATAAGTAAAAATCATCAATTATTAAATTGTATAAATTATTTGAAATTAAGAGAAAGAATTTTGACGAATATTGAGGAGACTGAAAGTAAAAAAAAAATTCAACATTATTTTGACTCTTAAGTTACGCTCGAACCTCCTTAAGTAGTCTAAAAAATCGAAATAATTGTAAAAATTTTATTCCTTCGATTAATTTCTGAAAAATATCTCTCAGAAGATTGTGTAAAAATTTGAAACTGATTAAGAATTGGGAAATCATCCACTTAAATACGCTACCTGACGGATCTAATGCGAACTACTCTATGCAGGTCGAGTATAAACAGCTAATGTCATATAATATGCCGAAATTGCAGTTGGAATTTGTTGAAATTCTTTTTTAAAATATTAATTAATTAATTATAGTCCATAAACTTAGTTATTATTTAAAATACCATCAATTTTAACGATCAAAAATTTTTAATCATGTAGTTTCCTCCACGAGAAAATAAAAATCAAACTTTCTGCTGCGTGTATGGGTGTAATTGCAAGTCATCTAAAAATTTTTAGAATTTCTTTTATTGAAAAAATTTTACATGTAAAAAGTTTTAAAAATTATACGTGCAATTTTGTAAAAATATTTTTTTTGTTCTAATTTAATTAATAAAAAAAATCTAAAATTTTTGAACGTCGGGTAACTTTAATGTCATTAGCAAGTCTAGTAAGAAGTTAGATTTTACACTTTTCCTCCGACCAATTCTAGTTCTGTGGTGATAAAAAATAAATTTGGTAAAGATGAAGTTATAGACCGTCGATTAGCTTGAATAAAAGCATTAGAAATCTGAAATAAAGTTACACAGTCCAAGAGAGTGTGTTCATTACATTTCACCAAAAATGACTTTATACCAATTAACATAAATATTTTTGTAATCACAAAAAAAAAAAAACAATAATTATAAGCTGTGAATTTTTGAAATACAATGTAATACGACAGATTTAAATTACTTAAATAACTAAATAAATGTTTTTGTAAAATAAAGAATTGTAATTATAGTTGCAATTTTATAACTACAGTAATAAGAATAAGTCGCATGAATAATTCTTAAATAATTAAAAATTTTTATTACTGGGCTGAGTACTTGCAAATTCATGATGCTGAAAGTAACAGATATCTGACAATTTTTTGGATTTTTTAAACAAGCAGATTTTTACAAAAAAAAAAAATAATAGAAAAAATTCACATATAGAAATTTTAAAAAACTAAAAGTGAAACTTTTCTAAATTTTTTGTCCTAATTTATTTCTTTAATAAAATAAAAATTTGACAGGTTGTCTACTGATTTCAGTATCATGCAAATTCACAAATTTCTTGAATTGAAATTTTCATTATTTATTAAATTTCTATTAAAAATTCGATTTAATACAACATGTAAATACACGATTGAATATGAAAACACGGCAGCTTATTTAAAAATGCGTTTTACAGTAGTAACTGTTTCTGCCGCAAGGAGAAGCCACGCCCCCGGCTGATTTCCTAATATTTGCTAGATAAGTTTAATATTTTCAGAAAATATACTAAAAAATTATTTGCGCGGAAAAAAATAAACTGTAATATTCACTCGGAATCCGGTTAATTTTTATAGTTTCAAACAGTAAAGCGGACATCAGGGTGGCAAAAATATAAATATTATAGAACTTAATGTAGAAAATATAAAAGCCACAATTTATAATTTAATATCCAAAATAAGTGATTTGTAGCTGTCACTATAGTAAATAACGACTCTTTCATCTTAAAAAATTACAGTTTCAAACAGTAAAAATTGCCATTTCAATATATAGTCCATATTATGAGGAGAAGGGGAACTCAGATGAAATAGAAGGAGGTCTCACTCTGGGAGAATTTAACATTTGAAACAGTAAAAATTATACTTTTAAAATATACATTTTATCCGTCCAAGCAAGTCAATAATTACAGTTTGATTTTTAGCGTTGCGTTTAAAATTTACCATTTTACTTTGTAAATATTGACGTTGCTTGGATTAGAAATTTACTAACTTTATTTTATACTTTTTACATATCATAACATCATTTTTTAGGTACAAAATGATAAATATCAAAGTCTGAATTCTTAATTATTATACTTTAACATTTTAGACATTCACAAAGCGAATATTACTGTTTGAAATAGTATTTTCTTCCATATAAAGAGTAAATTGTAACGTTTAAATGGTAAATATCATAAAGTGAATAGTAAAATCACGATTTTACTGTTTGAAATGGTAATTTTTAGCAGTTGATCATTACTTATTATAAATCGACTGTTATTTATTACAGTTTACTTTTTTCTGTGTGCTTTTTGAAAATGCAAAAAAAGTCGATTTTTTTTTAATTCTAACTAGATGTAACCCTTTAAATTTATATTTTCATAAATATTTTTGTATTATTATATCTATAAAATTATTATGAAATCTTCTATAACTTATAAAAAATTTAGTATATTTAAATTAATTCAGTAGATGTTATTTTATTGATTAAAAAAAGTAATTAATTCCCCGAAGCGCTGCTATTGTAAATGACTAATTTATGTTAAATCAATAGCCAGTAATTTTTATTCATTATTTATCGGATTATAAACACAGAAAAATATTAAATGCAGCTATGAATTACACATGTTGCAAGTGCAGCTCTAACCAAAGTAAATATTTAAACCATATAATCTTCATTATAACTTTTATACTAAATCGGTCAACTATACTATGAAAATTTATAATTAATTTTTACTTTTCTTAATCTTTTTTTACTATAGTATACATACTACCGATGGAGTTTATTTCCTTTATGTATTTACAATAACCCATTGTAAGTTCAGTTCCGAGTGAAGTATGCGCTCATTTAAAAATATAATTTTTTTTAACAGAAATCTATTATAAAATATTTTTTTTCAAAAAAATTCACTTTCTATTACAGAATATGGAAAGACATGAGCTTAAACGACAGCCTATCAGAAATCGAACGTGCTAAATTAGCGGTCTGGGATTACCCGGTAAGCGACAAGTACACCAAGATGTTCCAACAAATGAAAGAAGCCGGGTTTCCTCAAACAAAAGAAGAAGCTATCAACCGTGTTCGTAAGAAATTGGAAGCCCACAACAACACTGAATTCGCTTTTATTGGGGACGCTACAGAAATACGGTACTTGGAAATGACCACCTGTGACTTGATTTCAATCGGCGACGAGTTTTCTCGCAAGCCATACGCTATTGCCGTTCAACAAGGGTCGCCCCTAAAAGATCAACTGAACAATGCGTAAGTAGCAATTTTTTCTTTAAAAGCATAAGGTAAAGTACCCAGTACTTCAACACTTATAAAAATTGGACCAGTACTTGAACAGACTTTTCGAATTGTTATAATACAAAATCCGTAAATTTATTATGAGTAATATGCGCATGTTATAATTATTCAGTGATACAGTAATTGATTTCTGTAAGTTTTTATAATTATAAATCAAAACAATTTTATTTTTGTTAACTTAAAAGTTGACATGTCAAGAATAGCCGATAGATGCTATTTTTTTTCATGAAAAAGGTACTATACCGTAAACCGAACAATCAGTAAAAAAAAAAAAACGGTATATCATTTTGAGTAAAGAAATTGTACCAGCCAATGAAATAGTCTTTTCTAAATAATCCATATTTTTTACAAAGACATAAACTATAATTTTTATATTAAATTTTAGCGTTTAACTATACCTCCCAATTTTCAAAGCGGTACCCAGAATTTGAACAAGCTGTGGCCGTATAATTTTAACAGCACTCTAATTTCTAATAGGTTTATAGACTAGGATCAGCATTGTCATTTGTACTAATTACTGCAAATTAAATAAGTTTTATAGCTAAAAATTAGTGTAGTTAAAAATTATGGAACATTTTGAATTGAGTGTTTTTTATTTATAATTGAAAATTTACTTTGTCATTCATAAAAAATGTAATTAAAAAATTGAATACAAATATTTCTCATTTTTAAATAAATATATCAAATATTTCCAGAATTATTTTTAATATTATTCAATAATATGTTATAAATCTTTGGATATTTCAATAAAACGTTGAAAATTTTTGCTGTGCCTATTGCCATATAGGGTAAACCTACCGGTGAATGACCGATTTGTTGCCGGTACTGATAATTTAGCTTATTGTTAGTCATAATTAACTTCAAAACTTAGCTTGACTGTTTTAATTGTATTCATAAATTATTTTTATTTTGATTTTTATAATAATATTGTCTTCTTTATCTTCGTATATTTTATAAATTTAATAAAATGAGTCTGATTATACAAAACCCAGTGAATGACCGTACTTTTCCATTGAATGACCAGGCTCAATCCAGTGAATGACCAATGTGCAAATTTATAAATTACAACTTTAAAATTATTTTTCTTAGGGATTTGTTTTATATGAATGAGAAACTAATGATTGTTTATAAAACAATTAAATTTGTATTTATTTAGTACAATGAAAATAAACCAAGCACATTCAACATATTTACTTTAAATTAAAGTATCCATAAACTTAACATATAATTGATATTTAAAAAGTTTACATATGTATGAATAATTTTTTACTCTATCACATTTAATCTGTTACTAAAAATTTGAATAGCGCGCTACGCGCGCGCGCCTAAATTTTAACCAATAATGAATCGTGGCCCGTTTTTTGCGAGTTTTGACCTTTGACTAACTTCAAGACTTTCATGTATTTTAATTTAGAGGAACATATTATGTTAGTGGTTAAACCATATATTAATCTTCAATTATAATCAAAATACAATGTTTAGCCTAAATTTTTTTATGCTTTCTAATTTTGCTTCTTCTTGCAATCTCAATCGTTTTTTAGCTTCTCTATTCTCATCAGATATTTCAGTTGTAGTTTTATTAATTTAACTACTGCTCCCGGAGTGTTCAACTACTGCGGCTTATCAGAATTGATTATTCAACTACTACTCCTTTCATAGTTTATCTTAAAAACGTTGTCAAAATATAAATATTCAATTACCTGTGTTATTTTGCGCTTCAATTAATTCAAAATTGTTTATATTTTCATGAAAATTACTAATTTGAACTAATAGTTACATCTTTATGTAATAAAAATAGGGTCAAATACGTTTTACTTTGAAACCTGTTCAACTACTGGGTACTTTACCTTAATTCATTTTAAAACAATTCAATATTTTTTTTCCCATTTTTTTAGGATATTAAAACTGTTGAACCAACGTAAACTCGAGTCCTTCAAAAGCAAATGGTGGAGCAGGAACCCCAACAGGAGAAATTGTGAGAAGGAAAGCAGCCAGAGTGATGGTATAAGTATTCAGAACATCGGTGGTGTTTTTATTGTTATATTCGCCGGGATTTTACTTGCTTGCTGTACTCTAGCCTTTGAGTACTGGTATTACCGCTACAGGCCACGTGTTAATGCTAAGAAACAGAGGAAAGCTAACGTTCAAGAAAGAACTAAGATTTCTTCTCAGCGGGTTAAGCCGACGAGGTTCAATTTGAAACCAGCGCGGAAAGCTTTCGAAGATCATGGCACTGAGTTCCGTGCGAGATTTTAAATTTTTGAATTTCCCGCGGGTGTAGTTGTGGAGGTTTTTAACCTCGTGGTTGGCAAGCTTGGTGTCAATATGGCTGACATGGAATTTTTTTGGTTATACTACCGTGATAAGCACAAAAGTAGTCTGCAATAATCATGAAATTGAAAAATTGTAATTTTTGTTTTTAAAGTATAGTTATTTTTTTACAATAAACTCTAAGCAATTTATAAGTTTAGGTTTTCACTTAAGGGATATTTAAATTACCATTAAAAAATTAAAAGTCCGACTACTAAAAGTAATTCGCTAAAATAGATTGTTTTTTATTTTTCAAGTTTAATTTTATACAATTGATGATTTCAATTTAAAAAAAAAAACTTTTTAAAGTTATCACTTATAACGCGCCATGTAAGCAGGATTGCGCCCACAGTTCTCAACCGATCTTTATGAAATTTTGTGGGCTCATTCTGTAGATCAATATTAAGATCAAGTTTGAAGATGAGCAAAATCGGCCGGTTAGTTTACGAGTTGTGGATGTTTGAAAATTTTTTTTATTTTTAAAAAATTTTAAATTTTGTGTAGTTTATGGAAATAATTTTCCAGGTGTAAAATATAGATGAAATCTATTAAATTTATCTCAAACTTCATTTAATTACCTTCAATTTAAGCTATTATTCACCTAGTTTTGATGATTTTTTTAATTAATTCCGTGATATTGAAAATTTGAAAAAATTTTTCAATGAACGTATTTCGGCCTTTTTACTTTAAATAATTTTCAAGCCGTAAAAGTTAGCTTAAATCTATTAAATTTATTTTAAAGTTCACATGATTATCTTCAATTTAAGCTATTATTCGTCGACTTTTGATACTTTTTTAAATTTATTTCGTAGTTGGGAAAATAAAAAAAAATAAAAAATAAATTAATTTTTAGCTTTTATCATTAAGTGACTTTCATCTGTTACAAATCCTATTTTTTAAGTAGATTTCTTCGAATATCTATTTGTTATAGTCGGTCTCATATCATTATTTGCAAAAATATAATACAAAATAAATTTTAGGACATTGTTGCCTTTTACTAACGTGTTTTTTTTCAATATTCAAACATAACGTAAAAATGTTCAAAATTTACAATCTTATTCTTAAAACTCATTTGTATAATGTCAGATACTACGTTTGTACTTAGCACGGCAGAACACACAAAACATTTTTTAAAAGATCTATTTTCATAAGAAATTAGATAAATATTTTTATAAAATAATGCCGAAGATATTTTTATAATGAAAAAAAAAAAAAGTTGCCTTATAATTCAACATACTTAAAATTTAATTGAAAAGTTAAGAATACTTTGATAAAAATTGTTGGGTAAACATTTCAAAAGTGCCTTGGCTACTTAATCCTGGAAGCGAGCAATAAATACTATTGACAGACATGAGATACCTAGAGGTTAGAGATAATCAAATTTCCAGACACCATCCCGATGTCCGACAAACTCAAGGCGACCATTTCAGCGCTGCCTGATGATGTTTTGGCGAGAACAAAGGGTGCCATTGGAGACAAGGAGGGTAAAGTTGATCACAGGACCAACATTGAGATCATCAAACTTGAGGAGAAGAGAATTGAGGAAGAAAGACAGGAGCAGAAGGCTCAGGAAGCTCCGGAACCTGTTGTTGAGAATGAGAAGGTTCCTGAGATAACTGCGACTGATGTCAAAGTTCTGGAGCAGGCTCTGGACTCGATTGGTCAGGAGAAGAAAATGGCTGTTGAGAAGGAAGAGTTGAAGGAACTCAAGGAAGAAATGGCTGAGTATGTTGAGGACATTCAGGAGTTGGATGAAATCAAGGCTGAGGCCAAGAAAGTTGGTGGTAGTGAAATTGAGGATCTCAAGGTTTCCAAGGGAGCTAGTAGGTTGTATAAGAAGGTCAATAAGATGATTAGTAAGATGGATAAGGTGCTTGAGGAGTTGGAGGTTGAGGAGAAACAGGTTAAGGAGAAGATTGAGGGGTTGAAACATGAGGAGAAGAAGGTTGAAGGAGATGTTGTCGAGGAGTTGGTTAGGATTGATGAACTTATTGCTGCAATTAAGAAGATTCAGAGTGTTCCGGATGATGAGAAGTTGAATAGGATGCAGGAAATTTTGGGAGAAATTGATGTTGATAGAGATGGTGCTATTAAAATCGAAGATGTTCTTAAAGTGAGTATAATTTTTTTAAAACTTTGTTTTATTAAATATAATTATTTATATTGAGAGAAAAAATTTATTTTGAAAAAATGGGCATTGTTGTGACAAGAAATTAATTTGTTGAAAATTTTTAATTACTATTATTTAGAATTATTTAGAAAATTCTAAACAATTTTCTCATATCGAATTAACCATTTTTAATTTTTAAAACTTTATTTTTGAGGGGGTATTCTGGTGTAGAGGTATGAATTTCAGATAATTTTTGAATTGCCGTAAAAAAAAGGCAATCGATATTTTTACCATCTATTTTTTTATAAGTTATTTATTAACATTACAAGAATACAGAAAAAAATAAAAAAAGTTGAAAATTCAAAACATTAGCAGCTGATAAAGTGGGGGAGGTCTCAAAAAATTGGCACGTGACCATACCCACGATTCCAACATTCCTAGCAATCTGAAATAAAAAAAAAAAAAAAAAAGATTATTAATCTAGAGTAATTTCGCAACGCAACGTTTGAAACTACGGAGAAGTTGAAAAAAAAATTTTTTCACAAAATGGGACTGGCTAAAAAAAAAAAAAAAAAAAAACAATTTTTGTACCACTTTTTTTGACTTACGAATTTTTTAAAAATTGAAATTTAGGGATGATGATAGTTTCAGATATAGAGAAATCTATAAAGAAGACTCTCAAAAAATTTTAGGTAAATCTGTTCCGTAGAACTTGAGAAAACGTGGGTATCGTTTTGAGAAAAACGCGTTTAAAATTTCGCGTCAAGTATAAAAATCGATTTTTTTTTTCTACACTAGAATACCCCCTTAAGTCAAAAATTAACGAAACCAGAAATTTTCTTTCTAACTTTCTTTGTTTTTAAATGCAGTTTAAAAAAAAAAAAAAGTAAAGAAAAATTGTTCAGAGCTTTCGTCTATTTTTTAACGCAATATTTTTTGAGATTTTTTTTTTTTTTTTCAATTTTGAAGTTCTCTGAACACTCAAAAATTTTTAGCATAATGTTATCAGAAATAATCCTAATTAAAAAAAAATTTTTTTTTTAATTGGAAAAAATAACATTACTCTGAATAAATTTGAGGATTTGTAAAAAATGTCAAAGTTTGATATGATAAAAAGAAAAAAAAATCAAAAATTGTAATCATCGAAAAATTTTCAATTTTTTTCAAAAATTTGGAAAAAAAACTATGAAGTTCGGTATGAATAATTTTGCTTACTTTTTTTGAGTGCATTTAAAAACGAAAATTTGAAAAAAAAATGTCTCAATCAAGATGAAAATAAATTTAGCAGATATTAAATGATTTTTAGAGTTTTTTTTAACAAATAACTTATGGCAAAAAAAAATTGACATGTAAGGTAAAAGACCCAGTTATTGACACGGGCCTAGTTATTTGACACTAGCAATTTTATTCTAATTAAAAAAATAAAATGTTCTCAAAAAACCAATTATCTTAAAATTGATAATTCAAAAATTATATTCATTAATTTATTAGAGTTTACTTATTTTTTTTAATTAAAATAAAATTGCAAGTGTCAAACAACTACGCCAGTGTCAATAACTGGGTCTTTTACCTTAGAAGCTAAAAAAAAATGAAAAAATTTTATAACAAATAAATAATGGCAAAAAAAATTGACAGAAATTTTTTTAAATAAAAAATGCAATTTTTTAAAAATAATTTTTTGGAACAAATTTATTTGTTAAAAGAAATTAAAAAATTCTCTGATGACTGTTAACTTAAATGTCATATCAATAAGTCAAATTTTTTTTTTGATTGTGTAAAAAATTTTGAAAAATTCCTGAAAAATGCTTTTTATTGGGTAGAAAAGAATAAAAAAATTTCAGTCAAATCGAAAGAAGTCGGGTTCAAAAGTGGTCGATTTGGCGTGAAATGCCCTTGATATATTAATAATTATATTTAAAAATTACTAAAATAAAATAATTTTCCAGGTAATCGAGTTAATAGGCAAAGATGACATAAAACTGAACAAAAAGCAAATGAATGAATTAATAAAACTAATGGAAAAAGAAGAAGTCCTGGAAGTTGAAGATCAAATCCAAAAAGCTTTGCTGAAAGAAAGCAAAGAATCAAAACAGAGTACCACCACCACTACCAGTAAATCAACTGTACCAGCAACACCAGCAACTAAAGCAGAGAAAATCTCTGAAGAAGGTTTCATTAACGAGATACCAGAAATTTCAGTCAAGGCTACCGACGTAGCCAATGATGTTCATCCATCAAAATCTGTTAAAAATAGTAAGAATAAAGTAAGCACTAAAGAGAAGAAAAGCGATCCAGAAGAACTGAAGGATCCAGCCCCGATCATCACAGATTCAATTGACAAAACGATTTCATCAACACCTCCGGTCACATCGACAGTACCTCCGCCAAAAACAAAAAAACTGAAAGGTTCTAAACAACTATGATTCACTCGAGTCTGAAAGTTATTTAAAAAAAATTGATTAATTAATTAATATATTTTATTTAATTATTAATTAATTAATTAGTTGGTATATATTTAATGCTTAGTCAAAACATCAAACATATTTTTTTTACCAGATTAAAATATCGCTACGTGTTTCATGTGGATAATAGAAATAGAAAAACGGATTTTATTTATTAATTTTCAAGTTATGGATCTGGATTGAGGTAATTGTTAATTTACATTTTTTCGTTGTAAAATTAATCAGTTAAATTGAAATTACGTTGGATCGTTATCATTCCGTAATCTTTAAACAGTTTAAATTTTTTATGGAGTCATTAACACTTCAGAAAAATCAATGGATAATTTTTTTTTTATTGTTTTAAATATAATAAATAAAAGCATTTGTAATATCTTTTTTGTTACGCTAAAAAATGCAATAGTAAATTTTTTAATTGAAATAAATGAACAAGTCAACGCACTGGTATCTCGAAAGAGATAATTGTACAATTGTAATAAATGAATGTATTAATATTATTATTATTGCTATTAATAAATATTAATAAATTAAATAAGGATAAATTAGTTTTTATTTAGTATAAATTAATCGTTTATTTGAGAAACCCCATAAGTCAAAAATACTAAATTTTTCAGGAGAAGCAAAAAACATTTTTCTCGGTTAAGTTTTCATTAACATCATGAACCAATGGTTATTAATAATAATGTTAGTATCCAGAAAAAATATTCGAGCATGAAAAAATTTAATTGTTAGTTCATACTATTCATAATAATGATTTGAAGTTGATTGACTTATGGGGTTTCTCACCAAAACGAACAAAATAGTTGTAAAATCATTAATATATTAATTTTTCTCCGTCAATCATTTATTATATTTATAAAATAAAGTACAAAATTTGTATTGGAACTACAATTAACGAAAATTATAATAAATCATCTATTTTTAAATTCAAATTAGTGAACTGAGAGTCAACAATATAACAACATTTTAATTTTTCACAATCTAACTTTATAAAACTAAAATTGCAAAAATTATTGAAATCAAAGTATTTAACAGTAAATATAATATATTTTTATTTGGTTATCATTAATTTCAGAATTTAAATCAGTTTAATCAGAGTTAACAATAAAAGAGCATATTTTTAATTTTAATCCATCAAGCGAACATTGTAAAACTCATTAAAATTCAAGTATTTAACTGTAAATTTAGTTTCTAATTATCTAATAATCAATCATTTTAAAATTAAAGTCAGTGAAATCACACCAAATAATAAAACAATAATTTAATTTAATTTTTTCAAACCCATACTGCAGAAATTATTACAATTAATGTATTTTGCATTGAACTGAATTTTTCTTCTCAGAAGTTTTTTTGACAAAAAAAAAAAAAAAAAAAAAAAAAACAAAGAAATTTATTTTTGGAATTTTGAAATTGAATGTTTATTCAAAAAACCCTATAAGTCACTGACTTATGGGGTTTCTCAACTAAACGAGATTTATATCGACCAACTGGTTAGGTCTTGAATGTTAACTTTAATGTCATCCGATAGCAATGAAAAAGGGACAAATCACTAGGAAGTTGTGCAGCATTATTTTTTTTTTTTTCAATAAGTGACAGAATGGTTTTAGTTTGTATGCAAAAAATTAGAATTTCAATTCACAGATAGCTGATAATTTTTTTAATTTTTTCAACTAAAAAATTATAGCAAGAAAAATTTATTTTAAAAATTTCATTTTTAGAAGCTCTTATAAATTAAAACAAATAAATTAAACAATTAAAAAAAATGACATTAAAGTTAGCAGTCATTTAACCATTTTTTAATTTTTTTAACAAATAAATTATTTTTAAAAAATTGCATTTTTTATTTTTTTAAATTTTTACAGGTCAATATTTTTTCTATTTTTTTTTGTCATAATTTATTTGTTAATTTTTCGATTTTTAAGTGTGCTTATTTCAGTTTCATGCCAAGTTTTTTTTTTTTTTTTTTTTTTTT